ACAAAACAGTGTGGATATCCAGAAGTATCAATCCAACTACACCCAACCTCCTTTGAGAATTCCATTTTGCGCATTCCTCTTCTGACGTTATCTACAGACTGCCAGTTTCCTTCCTCTGCATATATATATTTGAAAGCAGAACATGATAACCAGAAATTCCATCACTCCCCTCTAATTCAAGCAGCATACTGGAAACAATTTTCCCCAATTCAAAATTTCTATGCACTCTGCAGGCTGCAAGGAGTGATCCCCATATTCCCAAGTTATTACCCTCAACACCCAACTGTTTAGCAAAATTATGAGCTTCATCCAACCGTCCAACTCTCCTAACATGTCAACCACACAAGCATAGTGCTCTGCTGACGGCTGAATCCCTTATTCTTCACCCATCAGCTCAAATAATTGAAGGCCTGAATCAACCAATCTGGTGTAGCTGCAAGTAGACAGGACTGCTACAAAGGTAACAGCATCTGGTTCTAAACCATTCTGCCGCAAAGAGTAGAACAGTTTTAGAGCTTCCTACGCATCCCATGAAGGCCATATCCCAAACTCATATTTGTATATGTCACAGAGTTCTTCTCAAGAGATTTTAGAAAACACTTTCAGCATAATCAATGATTCCTGATTTTGAATACATGTCTACCAAAGCAGAAATAACATAAACATTGTTCTCAAACAATTAGCGAATTGCAAAACAATGTAGCTGCTTGCCTATTGCTATACTTCCTGACTGGCTGCATGATGGGAGGATTGATGCTAAGGTCACAGCATTTGGCTTCACATTCTGCTCAAGCATCTCCTTGAAGACAACAAAGGATTGTTCAATTAATCCATTCTGAGTGTTTCCAGCAATCATAGCATTCCACGTGACTTGATCTTTATCATATGTGAAGTTCGACTGGAATATTGCTCGTTCTTCTCTAATCATATTAGATTTGGCATACATGACTATCAGGTAACTCTCCATCCCTTCAAATTGAATATTGTGCCTCAGAAGATAAGCATGGGTCTGTTTACCAATTTCCCTGTCCCTAATATTTGATGCCGCAGAAAGCAGGATGGTAATTGTTATATCATCAATTGCGACCCATAGCTTTTTCATCTCATATACAAGCATCAAAGCCTCGTTATCCAGTTCGTTCTGTACCAAAGCAGACACCACGGTGTTCCATGACACAATATATCTTTCCTTCATTCCATTAAAAACTTAAAGTGAATTGCCAATATGGTTACACCTAGAATATGTGGCTCACAGCATTAAGCGAAATAACCTGTGAAACCCTGCATTTCATTATCAGACATGCATGTAGCTGTTGGGCAAACTCCAAATGCTGCAACTGTGAAGCTGCCATAAGAGCAGATACAAATGTCACATCATCAGTAGAAACAGCATCCTCTGCTTCTACAGCTTCAAGAAAGAGATCAACTGCTTTAAAAGGAAAATTGTTCTGAATGTACCCGCTAATCATAGAGTTCCAGATCTCTGTATTTGTTTCACAAGTATTCTCAAATATTCTGGTCGCCAAATCAACACAGCCAAGCTCAGCTTACATAACAATGGCAGCACTAACAACAAACAGGTCATTTACATATGCATTACCCAATTTCACAAGAAATCCATAAAGAAAATCAGCAACTCTAACATCCCCTGTTTCTGATACAGCAGGAAAAACATTAGTAAAACTAACAACAGTTGGCTTAATGCCTAATCTCATCATCATAACAAAACACCTCACTGCTTCCGAAAACCTCTTCCTTTTCACATACCATGAAAAAATAGTATTCCATGCAACAACATTTCTTTTACGCATAGTTCTGAACACCCTTTCAACAAAATCACAATCACAATCAGAACCATTATCCAATGTAAGACAAGTAGCAGAGTACATATTCAACAAAGAATTACTAACAATCCTACTAGGACGAATCCCAGAACTCAGAATGTGGCAAATGCACAGCATTACCTACAAGAATCCGTTTGGTCTCCACGCAAGCCTTGATAACAGAGGAATAAGTATACTGATCACATACGGATGAACCCACATGTTTCAATCGAGAATAGAATGAAATTGCTTCATGGGGCATGTTATTACAGATAAACCCAATGATAATTGTGTTCCAAAGGACAATTGTTGGTTGAGGAATTGTATCGAACAGTTGGCGGGCGAGATGGGGTTAAACGAAAGCGAATTGTTCTGGGTTTTGGCTCTGTGAAAGTGCATTGTTGGTCGGTGAGGAGTAGGGAAGATTAATTTGGGAGATGGGTTAAGCTCAAAGATGGAGCCTGTGAGAAAGTTGAAGAAGACAATGGTTTGGTGTTACAAATACTCATCCACTTCAAAATTATGATCTTATAAATATTTGGTCTTACAAATACTCATCCACTTCTCATGAAAGCAAGCCTAACCATTGACAATTTTAAAAAGTAAAAACCTACATATTTAATCTGAAAATATTGTGGAACTCAGAAGTTGGAATTAATACTTTGTATTATATTGGTGATGCAGTTAAGACCAAATACACCTATGAAGATGTACTCTATCCACCTAGAAATATAATAATATATGAGATGTTTAGAAGCACACCAACGTGGTCATTGAGAAATAAGAAATTTTGAAATTCCGTTTTAGTAAAAATATACGACGTGCAATCAAATACAAGAAATGATCATCAATTCAGATTATTTATGTCGTCCTCAAGAACTGTACTGCAAACTGACATGTGTTCCTATTTGGTCCAAGAAGCCCCCATTTCACCATTCTACATATGCTTTTGAATTCTGGTTTTGCTATTTCAGGATAATTAGGTAATGGGGACATATCCAGACTCGATGGCATTGGTATCTTCAATTAAGATATTATAGTGATCCTTAATATCATCCGCCGATTTCCCAAGAAGTGCTTTGGTCATTTTCTCCAATAGATTGTTGTTACCCTCGTTGGTCGCAAGAGTATTCTCAAAGATTTTATCCTCCTCCTTAGTCTAGAAGGAGTTATTGCATGTCCGATCGGTGTTCATTTTTTTTTAGATCAACAACGAAAGCTTTAACATGAAAAAGATAAGCTCTTCAAGAGGATTAAGAAAACGGAGGAGTGTCAATATATGATCAAAACTACCATAAATATCGGGCATCTAAAATAAGATTTTTTGTAACCTCTATCACTTAGTAATCAAAAACAATCGCAGCAACACACATTCTTTTAAATCAGTTATGGATACTAAGAAAAGTAACTTGAGCCAAGTGTCTCAGAAACAGTCTCTCTTAGTATCCATAACTGATTTAGAAGATTGTGTGTTGCTGCGATTGTTTCTAATTTCTAAGTGTCAGGGGTTACAAAAAATCTTATTTTAGATGCCCGATATTTATGATAAATTTTGGTCATATATTTACATTCATCCATTTTATGAATCCTCTTGAAGAGCTTACCTTTTTCATGTTTGAGCTTTCCGTGTAGATCTAAAAGAAAATGAACAATGATCGAACGTGCAATAACTCCTTCTGGACTAAGGAGGAGAATAAAATCTTTGAGAATACTCTTGCGATCAACAAGGATAACAACAATCTATTGAAGGAAATGGCAAAAGCACTTCTTGGGAAATTGACGGATGATATTAAGGATCATTGTAATGTATTAATTGAAGATATCAATGTCATCGAGTCTAGATATGTACATTATCTAATTATCCTGAAATGCAAAACCAGAATTAATACTTTGAATTGATGTTTATATCATTTTTTGTAGATGTAGAATGGCGAAAAGGGGCTTCTTGGACAGAACAGGAACACAAGTTAGTGTCCAGTACAGTTCTTGAGGATGACATTAATAATGTAAATTGATGTTTATGTCATTTTTTGTATTTGATTGAACGACTTACATTTTTACTAAAATGGAATTTCAAAATTTCTTATTTCTCAATAACCACGTTGGTGTGCACATCTCATATCTTATTATATTTTTAGGTGGATAGAGTACATCTTCATATATCTCATAGGTGTCTTTGGTCTTCATAAAAGCTTCAGTTCTGGAGAGATATTTTTGAGTAACTTGTTGAGAAGACAAACAGTTCTTACACGTATTTCCTCTAATTGAATATCACGTCAAGAGCCCCTTCCAAGATGGCAATACATAATAATGGAAATAGACTAGGGCTAAAACATGTTGTTCGGGACAATTAATGTTCTAGTATGCTAGTCTCTCCTTCAGTGATTTAGATCTGGTTTCAGTTTGGTGTTGTCGCGATTTGCTGAATTTTGCTCAATATTGAATTAATAGTTTTTTGTGGATGCTTGTTCTTGATGTCAAATAAATGTGGTATTTGACTATCGACTACAATTATTTTGTTGGGTGAATTGGTTGCTCATTTCTTGGAATCAAATATTATTGATGACCTTTTGAAGCTAGGCAATTCTTAAGTTTTTCATCGAGGTGAACCAGTAAAGGGAGACAATTTTTTAAAGCTAATGACGTGAAAGAAGTACTTAATAGAACAAATAAATGAAATTGGCTTGTTGATGGCATTGGCATGATCATGATATAAGATGTATGCATGCCTGCATTAGGCTTGTACAATCTTCAATGGACCAATCATGCGCTCAAGTGCACAACCTATACCAAGGGTTGGCTTGAAAGTCGGCCTTACTCAACAAGAACCTTTCTTAGTAAGGTTGCTTGTTTCCACTCATTAAGATTCTATCTACAAAAGGAGGTGCATGAAGGATACTCAAATTGCTCTCACTAACACTAGAGAAGGTGAGACGTCTTTCTTTCCTACCTCCATACAGTTCGCCTTAAAGCCTTAAAGCAGAAGGGTAAGAATCGTTATCTAAGTAATTGGTCTTTGTTGGTCGTTGTTCCAGTTGAGCACACTCTTGTCTTTGTCCAATCCCATCTTAGAATCTTCCAACATGTTATAGAATTTTCAAGATGCCTCCAAAGAGAATATGTAGCCTTTTTATTTTATAAAGGCATGAATGGAAGGTTTTACGGTAGTCTCCAAGTAATCCTAATGGACCCTTGGGCTTAAAACATGTGGGTGGACCATTTTGTAGAAGCCCAACCTAGCCCAATGTAGTTGGATTTGACTTAAGTCACGCAATCTTGACTAAAATAATTAATCCGGTTGTATTAACCCAAAATGTTCACTTGGGTCAATATGTCTTAACTGTACAACTTCGTTCAAATTTTGTATGGACTTAATCCCATAAAATTTTGCATGTCTTGATATTAACAAATTGCCTTTTCAATACTGGATTGTATATGTTGGTATTGTTTGTGTTTGTTAGCCTCTCCTATAATAATATTTTGAGTTGAAACTATAACTCAAACAATTAGAAAGGAGGAAATATGGCTATAAATTATGAGGGTAAGACAATTTTGGTTTCGGCGAATGAGTTTGCGAGTCCTCTTAGTATCAAGAATCCCTTAAAGAATTCATTTCAATTACTACCCTTGTTGATTCAAGAAAAGCATATGCGATCTCCTCTTTGAACAACTGGGTGATTGATACAGGTACTAGTAATTACATGACACGTAATCCTAATATATTTTCTACCTTTCGATCCCACAAAGAACCCTCTCAAGTAATGGTAGTTGATGGCTCAACACATAACATTGTGGGATTTGGAACCATTAAAGCAACCTCCTCTATTACCATGTCATATGTATTAAATGCCAGACTCTACTCAGAACTTGAATCCTGGAGACCCTCTTTTCATTTTGTAGGATGTCCAAAAGTCTATAGAAGAAAATGAATGGTTACAAAGACCATTTACAGAAGAGGAAGTGTTATTGATCATCAACCAGTATGACGGGGACAAAGCACCAGACCCTGATGACTTCACTATGGATTTTCTTTAAGAAATGTTGGGATATTTTGAAAGAGAACTGAATGTTGAGTACAAAAAATTTCCATCAGAGGAGTGCGTTTGAGAAATCATTTAATGCTACATTGATCGCTTCAATCCCAAAGAAACCTGATTCAATTGAGCTAAAAGACTTTAGACCTATCAGTTTGATAGGAGTAGTCTATAAAATCATCTCCAAGTTGCTAACTGAGAGAATAAAGAAAGTGATAGTGAAATTGGTTGATGAACACCAAATGGCTTTTTTAAGATATAGGCAAATAATGGATGCAGCATTGTTGGCTAATGAAATGGTCAACTCCAAGGTAAGGCAGAAAAAACCTAGGATTCTGTGCAAGCTAGACACTGAGAAAACCTATGAACATGTTAATTGGAATTTCCTTCTAAAAATACTAAAGGACATGGGATTTGGTAGCAAGTGGATTGACTAGATCAATAACTGCATTTCAAGTGTGAAGTTTTCCCTCCTCATAAATGGAAACACTGAAGGATTCTTCCAATCTCAGAAAAGTCTTAGACAGGGAGATCCTATGTCCCTATTCCTATTCTTAATAGCCATGAAGGGGTTGAATCACATGTTCCGGAAGTCAAAGACTAAATGGGTGGGAGAGGATTTAGTGCACTTGCTGGGAGAGGGAAGGAGCTGGAGATCACACACTTATTCTATGTTGATGATGCTCTTATATTCTATGAGGTAAAGGAGGCACAAATTAGACACATAAGAGCTATACTCACTATTTAGTAGAGCATTTCAAGCCTCCATGTCAATTGGCTGAAGAGTCATTTCCTCCCTATCAAGCAAGTTGACAATTTTCTTGGGCTAGTTGAGACATTGAGTTGCTAGGTAGATGCACAACCAACAAAATATTTGGAACTACCTTTGGGTGCTAAGAACAAAGAGTTGGAAGTCTTCAATGTGGTGTTGGATAGATGTGGGACGAAATAAGCCCGGTGAAGAAGCTAGTATTTGTCTCTAGGTGGCAGGGTGACCCTCATCAAGTCAATATTAGATGAATCACCTTCTTATATGACGAGTTTATTTCCAGTCCCCAAGAACATTGAGAAGAAAATAAATAGGCTCAGGAGATCTTTTCTATGGCAAGGCAACAAAGAAAGGGAAGGCTACAACTTGGTGAAGTGGGATACTCTCACACTTAGCAAAAACCAAGGAGGCTAGGGTTGAAGGACCTAAGTCTCTAAAACAGTAGTTTACTCCAAAAGTGGCTATGGACATTCTGTATAGAATATAGAGCCTTATAGAAGAGATTTATATCAGGAAAGTATGGTTTATTTAACCAATGGACAACTGAAGAGGTGATGGGCACATTTGGATGCAGTGTTTGGAAGACCATTAGAAGACTATGGCCACATTTCAAAAACAACATATGTATTAGTGTTGGGGATCGACGGAAGACAGAGTTCTTGAATGAAAGATAGATAGAGGAAGACACTTTGAGAAACCTATTCCCTCTTCTATATACATTGAGTATGCAGAACAATGACACTGTGGAACAAGCCTGGAGTCAACACGGTTGGAATCTACTTTTTAGGAGCGCATTGAATGATTGGGAAATTGAGGAGGTTGCCAAACTATTAGGGGTTCTTAATGATTTCTGAAGTACTTCTTAGAGGTTTGATAAGCCAATATGAAAAATACACAACAAAAGGGTCTATATAGTGAAATCATGCTATTGAAAGATGAACTATAATATCCCACGAATTGAACCAACCTTAGCAGACATATTAATAGTTATCTGGACCAACCTTAACAAGTGTTATTAATGCCATTTGGCTCCAATATAAAAACACGCATGAACTTGCAAACACTATATCAAAGAAAATCCTTAATACAACAGTTTAAAAGTCGACCTGCAGGACAAGTATAAGTTATTCAAAGGAAAGAACTGGTCACCTAATTTACATGTGCTTCAGTCAATCAGACAGCTTGATAGAAGTTGTCATTTTGGATAAGACCCTTCTTTTGCGATCTGGGACTCCTCGTTTCCCACCAAAAAGGTAAAATGGATATTCTTGACTGATCTGTATTAATAAAGAAATATACATACATTTCACTAACTGAATATCCTACTTCTGAGTATCTTTACAAAGTAAAAAAGCATAATTCAGAAGAAAAAACTAAACTAAAAAAAGCTAAAACACAACTTAATTACCTCGAATTTCAAAGGCAGCTGGTCATTGATAAACTACAATCATATGAACTCTAGCAAAATCCTGTCCAAAATATCATGAATACAAAGGTACATAGTGGGAGAACTAATAGCTTTTTATTCTTCTAGCCCATAGATCCACTCTTCTATTAGTTCAAGTTTAGGCTTATAGCCAGCATCCTACATATTGATGGTTAAATATGCCAACATATCATATATCATGCAGTACTGAGGATGTTTCTTATCTTTAGATACAAAACAGTGTGGATATCCAGAAGTATCAATCCAACTACAGCCAACCTCCTGTGACAATCTCATTTTGCGCATTCCTCTTCTGACGCTATCGACAGACTGCCAGTTTCCTACCTCTGCATATATATTTGAAAGCAGAATATGATAACCATAAATTCCATCACTCCCCTCTAATTCAAGCAGCTTACTGGAAACAATTTTCCCCAATTCAAAATTTATATGCACTCTGCAGGCTGCAAGGAGTGATCCCCATCTTCCCAAGACATTACCCTCAACACCCAAATGTTAAGAAAAATTATGAGCTTCATCCAACCGTCCAACTCTCCCTAACATGTCAACCACACAAGCATAGTGCTCTGCTGATGGCTGAATCCCGTATTCTTCACCCATCAGCTCAAATATTTAAGGCCTGTATCAGCCAATCCGGTGTAGCTGAAAGTAGACAGGACTGCTACAAAGGTAACAGCATCTGGTTCTAAACCATTCTGCTGCAAAGAGTAGAACATGGTTACACCTAGAATATGTGGCTATCATAGCATTAAGCGAAATAACCTGTGAATCCCTGCATTTCTTTATCAGACATGCATGTAGCTATTGGGCAAACTCCAAATGCTGCAATTGTGAAGTTGCCATAAGAGCGGATACAAATGTCACATCATCAGTAGTAACAGCATCCTCTGCTTCTACAGCTTAAAGAAAGAGATCAACAGCTTTTAAAGGAAAATTGTTCTAAATGTACCCGCTAATCATAGAGTTCCAGATCTCTGTATTTCTTTCACAAGTATTCTCAAATATTCTGGTCACCAAATCAACGCAACCAAGCTCAGCATACATAACAATGGCAGCACTAACAACAAACAAGTCATTTACACATGCATTACCCAATTTCGCAAGCAATCCATAAAGAACATCAGCAACTCTAACATCCCCTATTTCTGATACAGCAGGAAAAACATTAATAAAAGTATAAAACTAACAACAGTTGGCTTAATGCCTAATCTCATCATCTTAACAAAACACCTCACTGATTCCATAAACCTCTTCCTTCTCACATACCATGAAAAAATAGAATTCTATGCAACAACATTTCTTTTACGCATAGTTCTAAACACCCTTTAAACTAAATCACAATCAGTACCATTATCCGATGTAAGACAAGTAGCAGAGTATATATTCAACAAAAAATTACTAAAAATCCTACTAGTATGAATCCCAGAACGCAGAATGTGGCAATGCACAGATTTACCTACAAGAATCCGTTTGGTCTCCGTGCAAGCCTTGAGAACAGAGGAATAAGTATACTGATCACATACGGACGAACCCACATGTTTCAATCGAGAATAGAATGAAATGGCTTCATGGGGCATGTTATTACAAATAAACCCAACTATTATTGTGTTCCAAAGGACAGTTGATGGTTGAGGAATTGTAACGAACAGTTGGCGGGCGAGATGGGGTTGGCCTTGTCTTCACGATTCGCTTAAACAAAAGCCAATTGTTCTGGATTTTGAGTCTGTAAGAGTGCATTCTTGGTCGGTGAGGGGTAGAGAAGATTAATTTGGGAGATGGGTTAAGCTCAAAGATGGAGACTGTGAGAAAGTTGAAGGAAGAGAAAGAAGACAATGGTTTTGTCGTACAAATACTCATTCTCTTCAATATTTCAATTTGTTTTTTCAGTTTTAACCTAACAAGTAGTCTTCATGACCTAGTTTGACTTTTTAATCTAGTGGTTCTAAATCAAAGTTATGTTAAATGTACTAAAATGTCCTTTAATTTTGTGGTTTTAAACATATCACGTGGAAAGTTAAAGTGTTACAAAAAAAGGAAATGGATCATTCTTTTTGAAACAGACTAAAAAGGAAATTTGGTTATTCTTTTTGAAACAGACTAAAAAGGAAATTTGGTCATTCTTTTTGAAACAGATGGAGTAATTGTTTTTTTTATATAAATTAATTAATCTATATCTATTTATATCTATATCTATATCTATATCTTTTTTATATCTATATTACCTTAAAAACATGAACTCATAACTTGAATGTTGAATTACTATAATATCCCTAACTTAGGTTGTGACTTTTTTGTTGAGTTGTGACTTTTCCGATAAGTTGTAACTTTTTTCAAAGGGTTGTGATTTTTCGATGAGTTGTGGCTTTTCCAAAGAGTTGTGACTTTTTCAATAAATTGTGACTTTTCCAAAGGGTTGTGAATTCTCGGAAATGTCATGACTTTTCAGATAAGATACAAAAAATATTTGTTCATACTATCCTTTGTTAACTATAAATAGAGATAATATATAGTCAACCACTATTCTGATGAACAATTTTTTTTAATCTTCTACTCTTCTTCTTGCATTATAATTTTTTTTGTGTGATTTATTGTCATTGGATGAGTTCGAAGTTTAGCGGAATATGAAGTATCATTATTCTGATGAAGTAAGTCCTTCTATCCTAAAAGGGTATATTCCATAACCTTGAGTACTTGAGGAAAATAATTTTGATGATATAATAATTATTTTTTTGCTTAATATATACATTAGTATGTAATGTTCCAATAGATGAAGTTAACATGATGTAGTCTAAATTCATTTATTTTTGTTAACAATTTCTCTTGTGATGTAGATATATGCTTCTGAATATCTTTTTTCAAAATTTAGAGAATTGTCACGATTTTTTTTATGCTTAAGACAAAAGAATAACTTTATTTATCAATGTTACTTGTGTGATTTAGATTGTTAGGAAGTTTGCTTCAGAATAGTTATTATTATATAAACATTACCCTTTTGTTTTACTTATTAACTATTTTTTAATATTTCAGTATTTTAGACAAAGAAAAGTTCATATGACTTGTAATAACGTCAGTTGAAGTTTGTATTAGTTTAATTTTTATTATTTACTTAATAGCTAATTTTTGTGAGATAAATATTTTCATAAATGCAAATATAATAACGTCAATTATATTTGTATATCAAATCTCTCTCGTTTTATACAAACACAAATTATGCATTGTATTTTGTATAAAGCGAGAAAGAAAGAAAGACAAACGCGAACTGGGCAGGAGAAGATTTATATTTATATAATTATAAGTGTATAGGACGAAGAGACATGTATTTAAATTTGTATATACAGTTTTCTCTCGCTTTATACAAACACCCAGAGGCGGATTTAGGCATATCTAAGGTGTGTCAAGTGACACGGCTTCGTCGAATTTTTTTACCGAATATACCTATATAAAAAACAAACAAAAAAACAACTAAAGGTTAAAACAATTGAAAGGACTCCCCTTGTAACAGGTTGCGCCTAGCTCAGATGGTAGAGGCACAACATAATGTGCGAAACATCACGGGTTCGATTCCCCGGGGTTGTTTTTTCTCTCTTTTTTATTCATGTTTTTTGTTTGTTTTATTCATTTTTTTGTTTGTTTTATTCATGTTTTAATTTTTTCTTTTCTTAAAATTATTAATTTTTTGTTTAAAATTCAAAACAATAGCCCCTTCATTAAAAACCTACACACCCACTCTAATTCATTCAAAATCTAACAACTTTTTATTTATTTTTAGAATTAATATAAAACTCAAAATCTCCTTTATCAATTAGGATTATAGTTAAATAAAAATAGTGTTGACTCCTTAAATCCTTGTATTTGTATATTTCTGACTTGTGTGAGTTTGTTCAATTTTCTTTCCATTCTTGTTCATCAATCATTGTTAATCGACATCTCGAATCTCCACATCAGGTTAGTATTTTCTTGCTATTCTATTTTTTTTATTATGTGCTTGAATTTTTATTTTTATTTGTTCATAAAATTAATTTTAATTTTTACCATCTACTTGTTACAATGAAATAATTTAGAATTCATTAAATTGATTAAAATTGTCCGCAATCCTCTATTATTTGATCCTCAATTATTTATTGGGCAGATCACATCATATTAGTCTAAATTTTTAATGGAGAGTATTATTCTAAAAAAAATAAAAAATGTTCAAAGCCAATTTTAACGACTCAAGCTACAACTGACTTGGAAGAACAAGATAATGAATCAAACTTTATTTAATAATATGAAGATGTGAATGGTTTAATTTAAAATTTTAAAATATTATCTAATTAAAAGAGGCCTCAAATTTTTGGAGGTCTAAAACAAAACTTTCATTGATTTTCTTCTTGAGCCATTTTTGTCTCTTTAATTGTGACACCGCTTAGAAAAAATCATGCGTACGCCACTGCAAACACCAACACAATTTATACATTTGTGTTTGTATAAAGTGAGAGAGGCGAGGGAGAGCGGCGAGCGAGATTAAAGGGAGAGAGGCGAATGGCAAAGTGTTTGCCACAAATCAAAATTAATTGAAACTATGGTTATAACATTTATTTTGAATTAATAATTTGCTATTTTATACAATTTTCCATTATTAATTGAATCGTGTGTGCAATTTATTTACATACTTGAACAAATAGACATTTGCAAGGTGCAAATTCTGCAATTGCAGCGTCTATAGGCTTTCTCATAATTTGGATATGCTAATTTGGGAGCAGAAGGTGAGGCTGTCCAGCAGGCTCCTTCTCTGGCTTTCCCTTTAAGGGACGTGCTTCCTTAGTCGCGAGAATTTCCTCCTCGTGTTGTCTCCTCACCAAGCACTCTTCTTGTCATTTCATCCTTTCCTCATATCTAATTTGGCCTGAAGTCTTTCTTTAGCTATGTTTGAAAGGATATAAAGGTACTAACTAATTTTAGGGGTGTACATATAGATGGTTCTTTAGTTCGATTTTTTCATTTACCAAATCAAACCAGCTATGTCGGTTTTATAACTTCATAAACCAAATCAAATCAATAAAAGTGTTGGTTTTTCTGGCAAGGGGTGTCAATTCACTCCCTTTGAATATGGTTCATAACTTTATTTATCTTTTAGAAAGTTATTTTTCGTGTACCTATATACATATTGTATCTAATTTTACAAGCATTAATATGTTTTGGTACCATTTTATTTGTAGAATTTAGATTCCAAAAGCCAGAGGATTTGTTGGAGATTGGAAAATACAACTATTATGCATGCAATTCCAGCACTCCTTCAAAGCAGCACAAAGATAGTCCAGCAATAGCATTCATGTTGGTACCTGGAGATTATTTCTTCAAATCCGGCAATTATGGTAGTTGCATCAATGGCCAGAAGCTATACATAAATGTAGCAGCTCCAATTGAAGGTGATACTGATGACAAGATTTGAGATAACTAGCAAAGCGCATATTTCAAAGTTAGACAATAATAACCAGTTAATGAGTTCAGAATGACTGTGATCTTATTATACGTATGCATGCATTTTCTTTCTTTTGTTTAGGTTGAGTCGAAGACAATAAGTTCAGTTGAACTCATAGAACTAGTGGTATCTATACGCCTTTTACTTGCTTCAGATGGCAAAGGGATGTTCATGGACACTCTCTCAGTGTTTTGTTTTCAATGTGAACTTTGCTGTGAATTACCAGAAATATATTTGCTGCAACAACTAAAAACCACATTGGCAATTACTTTCACAAGACAAGGAGTTCACATAATATGTCAGAAGGGGGTGTTCAAACAGAAATAGTCCTTAATGTACAGAAAAGTAATCCTTTTAGTCCATATATACCATGTAATCGAAGTAGTCCTTAATGTACAAAAAAAGTGATACATTAAGGGTGGTGGCTGTAGGAAAAGGGTCACTTTTACTATGATTACGAGGTATATATGAATGACTAAAATAGTTCAACCCCATACATTAAGGACCATTTTGATCATTTAATTGATAAACATACGTTAAAGAATAGCAATACTGTCTAACATAATGTAATAAGTCTGCAAAAACCTAAGTGCAGTATCAACGTTAACAACCTATCTGGTTGTGAGCAACTAATATCAACATGAACAGCTTTTCCTCCACCAAATCAGAACGTCTGATCTGTGAACAAGTCATGCAGATAAAAAAAGTCTTCATCGTCAACGGGAGTTTAGCTGAGGGGGCAAAGGGATGTGACTAAGCAGGAGCCTCCCCTGCAGCTGCATATATAACCAGACATTCCTCTATGAGCAGTTGGTGCTTTCCCAACATAAAAAATGGAACTGATATCATTATCTTCGTCCATGGGCTCAGTGACTAATGCTCCATTTTCACCTCTTCCTTACCTATAGGAAAATCTTCTCTTATGTCCTTCACCCCCTGCCCGGAAACAAAGAATGTATACAAAGATAGAAGGAAAAAGAAGTAAACATTTAAGAACTACCTTTGCCAAATGATTATTTAGCTATTCAGATGACGAAATTCACTTATAACCAACTTCAACGCGATCTTTTTTGCGATGCTGTTACTTTTTTGTCAGGTGATGGAGGTCAAAAATACTTTTAGTGCTCCTCACTCAAATGTAAAGCCTTCTAAGAAAGTAGTTGGAGATGGAAGTCAATCACTAACTCACACTTGAGCATTGTTACAGAAGGTTGAAAAAGATTGAGCTGCTAAATCTTCAAAAGATCAAGTCAGTTTCTATTTGTACAACAAGAAACCAGGGTGTTAAAGCATCAATCTTGAACACTTATATTATTCTAGTTCTTCACCGGACAATTTGGATGTTATTGAATGTTAGAATCTGAAATCTTTAGATATATCATATCACCTCATGTGGACATGTGATGGAATCTCGAGCACCTTATTTCTAGATCTCAATTCCAAAACGTCTTGAAGATTAAGGACGATTCGGGTGGCACAAGGAAGATTGATGCTCCAAATTTGGTGTCGCTAGAATATACAGGATGTCTGATTCTTGAACTGAAAGTTGCAAGAGAGTCAAGACAACTGAAGCACTCAAAAATAGATTTGCTTTGCCACAATTTATATTTGGCATGGCTTTGTAAGTTGAACAAATTTCTATCAAACTCGGCCTCTTGGTCTCAAGTTTCCATTCATTTTGACAAAGAAATTAAGTTCAGCGGGCACACACAGTTGTTATACCCCAGGCTGAGTTGACATTTTAGATATAGAGCCTCATCTGAGGAGACCTAACCTGCAATCAACAAGTGGAGTGGTTACAGTTTCATGAATCGTTTGATGTATATGAAGAAGAGTCAGTCTACTTCCCATGAAAGCAAGCCTAGCCATTGACAATTAAAAGCCTACAAATTTGATCGGAAAATACTGTGGAACTCAGAATTAATATTTTGTATTATATTGGTAATGCAGTTAAGACCAAATACACCTATGAAGATGTACTCTATCACCTAGAAATATAATAATATATGAGATATTTAGAAGCACACCAATGTGGTCATTGAGAAATAAGAAATTTTGAAATTCCGTTTTAGTAAAAATGTAAGTCGTGCAATCAATTACAAGAAATGATATAAACATCAATTCAGATTATTAATGTCGTCCTCAAGAACTGTACTGGAATCAGAACCTGTGTTCTTGTTCTGTCCAAGATGCCCCTTTTAGCCATTCTACATGTGCTTTTGAATTCTGGTTATGCATTTCAAGATAATTAGGTAATGGGACATATCCAGACTCGATGACATTGATATCTTCAATTAAGATATTATAGTGATTTCCCAGGAAGTGCTTTTGCCATTTCCTCCAATAGATTGTTGTTATCCTCGTTGGTCGCAAGAGTATTCTCAAAGATTTTATCCTCTTCCTTAGTCCAGAAGGAGCTATTGCATGTCCGATCGGTGTTCATTTTCCAATCTACAAGGGAAGCTCAAACATGAAAAAGGTAAGACTCTTCGGGGTGGCCCAGTGGTTTGGGACTTCCATGTTGGAGGTCTCAAGTTCGAAACCCCTTGCCAGCGAAAGCAAGGGGTTTGCCTTCTGGGTCGAGCTCGTCGCACCGGGCTTGCCTAGTGCGGGTTACATCTCCTATGTGGTTTGCGAGCTATTGCATAGGAGTGGGGGTTTTACCCTGTGCGCACCCAAAGGGTAGCAGCTGAGGGTTTCCCTTGTCATCAAAAAAAAAAGAAAAGGTAAGCTCTTGAAGAGGATTCAGAAAATGGATGAGTGTTAATATATGACAAAAAACTACTATAAATATCGGGCATATAAAATAAGATTTTTTGTAACCCCTGACACTTAGTAATCAGAAACAATCGTGGCAAGTCACATTCTTTTAAATCAGTTATGGATATTAAGAAAAGTAATGAATGACTAGTAAAAGGAACAAACATGTGGTATACTACCACAAAAGTCCCCAGAGATACGAAGCATATTATGAAAGCATTTGCATTCTTTACCTTTTCTATCGGACGGAAGGTTTTATAATAAGAAAGAAGAATACCTTTCTCGGCCTTTTGGCTAAGATCAAGTGTAGTATCTGTTCTTATCAGTTTAATATCTGATATGTGGGCCATTGGTCCACACGATATTAACTTAATTTTTAAGGGGAAGAGTCCATTAAGGTAGTTTGTTGCCTGGGCTCTTGCGTTGCACTACTGCATTGGCCTGGCGTACCCCACCATTTTGTGTATGATTTTATCTCAAAAAAAGAGTACAAAGAAGAAAACTATTCATCTCAAGATAAGAAAAAATTATATCATTGAGTATATATTTTTGTTCTTGTTAGTGATGCAAAAAAAATAATCTATGGCACATAATGGAAAAGAAATCCTGTCAATCCAACATATGTTATCAAAAGAAAAAACCTATATTCCCTTGTAACACAAACTAACCACTTAAAACTAGGGAATGTTAAGACAAAATATATCCAGGACAAGAAATCAAAAGGAAAGCTATACAAATTCTTGCTTTTCCTTTTTGAGAAACACTCAAATTACTACACATTAATTTTCAACAATGGAAATCATGTTAAAGAAGAGTCCCTAGAAAATGTTGACACAATTTTTCTCTCCAGAGATAAAAACAAGATGAATCTCATGATATTCAAGTAGGTCAGTATCACTTTGCATATCTTCAGAATCTACAGCAAAAACAATATATAAATCAACCATTTGTGGTTGACTGCACATTCTCTTGTGTCGTCATTATCTTTATACATCATGAAATAACAAATTATTAATCATTTGAATGGAAGTTTTACAGAACCAACAACATACCAAGTGTAATCCCACAAGTGAGTCTGGGGACGGTAGAGTGTACGTAGACCTTACCCCTACCTTGAGAGGTAGAAATGCTATTTTCAATTCACACTTGGATCAAGGAAAACATATAAAGTGGATCGAGAAAGGGAAGATTTACAAAACCAACAACAACATCATGTCCAGTGAAATCCCACAAGTGAGGTATGGGGAGGGTAGAGTGTTTATAGACCTTTACCGCACCTTGGGAGGCAGAGAGTTCATTTCTAACTGACCCTCAACTCAAGGAAAAACATATCGAAAAAGGAAAGCTTTACAAAAAATCTTAAAGGAAAGACATGAAAGATCTTGTTTTTTCCCTTCAAAGAATTAATCATAACTCTAAAAATTAACTTTCCTAAACACAAAGCATGTTAAAGAAAAGTACCAAAAAACGTTAGCAGAACTAGCAGAACCTGATGATCACAAAGCACATTCAAAACAAACTTCTGAGTGAATCAATCTACCGTTATAAGTTGTATCACCTATGAAAACAAGCATTCAACCAAAGACGAATCTATCTCAGTTATAAGTACATATATGTGTCTGATTCCTTTTTGGTTGAATGCTTGTTTTCATAGGTGATAAAACTTATAACTGTAGATTGATTCACTCAGAAGTTTGTTTTGATTGTGCTTTGTGATCATCAGGTTCTGCTAGTTGTGCTGACGTTTTTTGGTACTCTTCTTTAACATGCTTTGTATTTAGGAAAGTTAATTTTTAGAGATATGATTAGTTCTTTGAAGGGAAAAAGTAAGATCGTTCATATCTTTCCCTTTAAGATTTTATGTCATGGTTCTATAAAGCTTTCCTTTTTCGATTTGCTTTGATATGTTTTTCCTTGAGTTAAGGATCAGCCAGAAATGACCTCTCTACTTCCCAAGGTAGGGTAAGGTTTATAGGCACTCTACCCTTCCCATACCTCACTTGTGAGATTTCACTGAATATGATGTTGTTGTTGGTTTTGTAAACCTTCCCTTTATCGAATCCACTCTATATGTTTTTCGTTGAGTCAAATGTGTATCGAAAATAGCCTCTCTACCTCTCAAGGTAGGGGTAAGGTCTAGGTACACACTACCCTCCCAGACTCACTTATGGGATTACACTTCGTATGTTATTGCTTGTTGGTTCTGTAAATCTTCCATTCAAATGATCAATAATTTGCTATTTCATGATGTATAAAGATAATGACGACAAAAGAGAATGTGCACTCAATCACAAATGGTTGATTTATATATTGTTTTTGGTGTAGATTCTGAAGAGATGCAAAGTGATACTGACCTACTTGAATTATCGTGAGATTCATCTTGTTTCTATCTCAGGAGAGAGAAATTGTGTCACCACTTTCTAGGGACTCTTCTTTAATATGGTTTCCATTGCTGAAAATTAATGTGTAGAGATTTGAGTTTCTCAAAAAGGAAAAACAAGAATTTGTATAGCTTTTCTTTTGATTTCTTGCCCAGGATATATTTTGTCTTAGCACATTCCCTAGTTATTAGTGGTTAGATTGTGTTACAAGGGAATCTGGGTTTTCCCTTTTTTTGATAGCATATGTTGGATTGACATGATTTCTTTCCCGTTATGTGGTACAAGGCCATAAATCTTTTTTTTGCATCACTAACAAAAACAAAAATATATACTCAATGATATATTTTTTTTCTTATCTTGAGACAAATAGTTTTCTTCTTTGGACTCTTCTTTCTTATTATAAAACCTTTCGTCCGATAGAAAAGGTAAAGAATGCAAATGCTTTCATAATATATTTCGCATCTCTGGGGACTTCTGTGGTAGTATACCACATGTATCTTCATGTTTGTTTCTTTTACTAGTCACTCATTACTTTTCTTAGTATCCATAACTGATTTAATAGAATGTGCCTTGCTGTGATTGTTTCTGATTACCAAGTGTTAGGGGTTACAAAAAATCTTATTTTAGATGCCCGATATTTATAGTAGTTTTTGGTCATATATTGACACTCATCCGATTTCTGAATCCTCTTCAAGAGCTTACCTTTTTTCATGTTTGAGCTTTCCTTGTAGATCTAAAAGAAAATGAACAATGATCGGACATGCAATAACTCCTTCTAGACTAAGGAGGAGGATAAAATCTTTGAGAGTACTCTTGCGATCAACAAGGATAACAACAATCTATTGGAGGAAATGGCAAAAGCACTTCTTGGGAAATCGACTGATGATATTAATGATCACTGTAATGTATTAATTGAAGATATCAATGTTATCG